GACAAGGATGAGACTGAACATGGGGCAAAAGAAATGGTAGGAAGATGCTTGATAGAGGAACAATGAGAGAAATGATAAGAAATGCTGGTTGCTTATCTATAAAGGAATGAACAAAAGGGAAAGGCAAAAACATCTGTGTGTTAGTAAAAGCTCAATTTTTTTTTCTCTTCGTCTTCAAAAACAAAATAACATAAAATTACCGGGAGGAAAAAAAAAAGTCTTTAGAGTAGATATATTGGTGCTTTAGAAAATAAATAAATTTGACCCACGTTGTCCTCGACTCCGGGTGGGCAGAGAAGCAGGAGCTGTGGCAGAAAGATGATGGTGATGGTGGCAGCCATGACGGATGTACTAATGGATGTACAGTGCTGAGCTCCCGCCAGGTGCATGGGATTTGGGGGAAGTCAAGGCATGAGGAGACATGAGGAAGTCAAAGCATGAGTCAAGGCTGCTGTATGATCTAACATGAAGAATGTTCCACCACACTTAAGAAGAATGTCTATTCTGCTGTTCTTAGAGGTATTGTTTTTTTAGCTTTATTTCTAGTGCTATTTTGGTTCACAGTGTTGTTCAAGTCTTTTACCTCATTGTAATCGCTCTAGTGTTCTAAATATTACTGAAAAGAGGCTACTGAACACTACAAACAGTGTTTTTGAATTATCTATTGTATTTCTATGTACCGTATTCCCATATGTTTCTATGACTTTTTGCTTCATATATATTGTTCTTCATCCTCAGATAATTACATGTTTATGATTGTGATAGCTTCCTGATGGCCCAATCCTTTTATCATGTGAAAGTCTTTTTTATCCTGCAATGTATTCGTTTTAATGTCTGTTTTGTCTGATACTGCCATTGTCTCTCTAGCTTTCTTAGGGTTGAAATTTGTATGTTGTAGCTTTTCCCATTACAAAAAGTAAACAAACAAACAAACAAAACCCTTTCAATCTCTCTGTGTATTTTGTGAGATATATGGTTTAACAGATTAATTTATTATTCCAACATTCAATGTTGAATGGAAATGAATTTGTTGCCACACTCAGAAGTAGCCCAGTCCTGCAGGCAAGAACGTTAGGGAGGATAAAAAGAGACCCATTAATGCTGGCACTGGGAAGGGAGGCAGAGGCTTGAGAATCCTTGTGAGCTTGCAGACAACCAGGTGTTAAAAAAAAGTAAAGAAAAGGAAGACCCACCCTCCCCACATCCCATCACTAAAGTCAGAGTGGTGGTCCAATCCTTTGGCTTTGGAACACAGTGCAATTAACATAAGACTACCAATTGGTTGAGGGGCATAAGCCCATCTCCAAGACGACTTTTGAGTATGGCTAGTTGCTAGAGAAACCTGCCTCTGCACCAGCAGTTGGAGATGCGGTAGTGCTGTACTTCACTGCCGCTCCTCTGCCATCCTTCCAAAAGAGCTCAACCTGGTAAACAGTCAGGAATTTGATCCTGGCTGTAAAAATCATTTGGACTTCTGGGTTGTGCTTCCAGTTTACTTTTCCAGATAGTCCCAGAAAACTCAGAGAATTCGTTCGTTCTTTGAAGATAAAACAAGAAGATGGCTTAAATGAGTTCAAGAAAGAAAAGTCCCCATGTTCTTGGCCAGCAGTTTGCTGAAGGAGATGACTTCCTGAAGCTGACGGCAAATGACATGCAGGTCAGAAAAATAAAACATGTCTCCTCAAAACAGAAGTCAGCAGAGCCCAGGAGTCTTCAAGCCAGCTCTTCCAGGAAGACTGACGCCGGGCCGCTCTGCAAAGAAAACTCAGTCAATGGGAGTAGTGCACTAAAAATCTCATTGCTGAGAAGCACTGTATTACAGTTCAAAGCCCCTCTGCCAAGAAGCTTCTGTCGGATGGGAAGCATCTCTATGCTGGAAAAAGTCATACCACAGAGAAGGTTTCCTCTGCCGAGAAGCCCTCTCATGCTGAAAAAGGTCATTCCAAGGAGAAAAGTTCCTCTGCCAGGAAGCACTTCCCTGGAAAGAGTCATCAGATCTCTGATAAAAGTCACACTGCACATAAGAGGCACCCATGTGCCTTGAAGCATCACTCTTCCGAGAAAGATCATCCTTCAGATAGAGGTCACCCTATCAAGAAAAGTTGCCCTGCAGAAAAAGCTTGCCTTCCAGAGAAAGGGTGTTGGGTTGATAGAAGCCCTGAGGCTGAGAGCAGCTGCCTAACTGAGAGAGGACAATGTACAAAGAGGTCCCTTTCTACTAAGAAGGGTCCCTCTACTGATTGTTTGCCTGAGAGAGGTCTCTCTGCCCAGAGAGAGAGAGAGACCCCTCAGCTAAGAAACTTATCTCTGCAGAGAGAAGCCATTTTGCAAAGAGAGGACTCTCTACAGAGGAATGTCGCCCTTCAGGGAGAGGTTGACCCACCAAAAGAAGTCATCTGACAGAGAAGGGTCATTCAGAGACAAGCAGCTGTGCAGAGACAAACCCTTCTGAAGGAAAAGGTCTCCCTGCAGTGAGAGCTCACACCCAGCAAAAGCAGCCAGTGAAGAAGGGTTGCTCAGTCCAGAAGGATAGCAATATTAGAAGACCCTCTGCAGGTAAAGATCTCCCTGCAGTGACAGCTTGCCCCAACCAAAGCTGCCCTGCAGAGGAGGGTAACTCAAGTGGGAGGGGCAGCTTTGCAGACAGAGGGCCCTCCACAGGGAAAGAGCATGCTGCAGAGAGAGGTAATCCCAACAAAAGCCTCCCTGAAAAGAAGATTCCCTCCATCAGAAGGGGTATCTCTGTTGAGGGAGGACTCTCTGGAAGGAAAGATCATACCCCAGGAAGAGGTCAACCTCGGAGAACAGAGGAGATCCCCTCTATCAGAAAGAGCATCTCTGCAGCTAGAGCACCTTCTGGAGTGGGAAATTGCTCCACTTGCAGAGATGGGCCCCCACAGAGAAGCCAATCTGCAGAAATGGGCCATTCAGCAGAGAGAGCACCCTCTGGAGGTAAAGACAGCCACACTGGGAGAGGTTGCCTTAGCAAAAGCCTCCCTGCAGAGGAGATTCCTGGAATCAGAAGGGGTATCTCTGAAGAGAGAAGACACATTGGGAGGAAAGATCACCCTGCAGGCAGAGGTCTGCCTGGAAGGAAAGCCATCCTGAAGAGAAGGGTGGCTCAGTCAAGAGGGGCAACTCTGCAGACAGAAGACCTTCTGCAGGCAAAGACCTCCACGCTGAGAGAGGTCAATCCAACGACAGCCTCCCTGAAGAGGAGGTTTCTTCTTCTTTTTTTAAATATTTTTTTATATTAAGCACAGGTTATTTACTTTGTATCCCAGCCATAGCCCCCTCCCTCATTCCCTCGCTCCCTAATCTCCTCCTTGCCCCTCTCTAAGTCCACTGATAGGGGAGGTCCTCTTCCTCTTCCACCTGACCTTAGCTTATCAGGTCTCATCAGGACTGGCTGCCAAGTCCTCCTCTGTGGCCTAGCAGGGCTGCTCCTCCCTCGGAGTGGGGGGAAGTCAAAGAGCCAGCCATTGAGTTCATGTCAGAAATAGTCCCTGTTTTCCTCATTAGGGCACCCACTTGGATACTGAGCTACCATGGGCTACATCTGAGCAGGGGTTCTAGGTTATAGCCATACATGATCCTTGGTTGGAGAAACAGTCTCATAAAAGTCCCCTGTGCCCTGATATATTTGGTTCTTGTGGAGCTCCTGTCCTCTCCTGGTCTTACTAACTACCCCTTTTTTCATATGATTCCCTGCACTCTGCCAAAAGTTTGGTTATGAGTCTCAGCATTTGCTTTGAAACACTGCTAGGCAGAGCCTTTCAGAGGCCCTCTGCGGTAGGCTCCTGTCCTGTTACTTGTTTGCTTCTACATCCAATGCCCATCCCATTTGTCTTTCTAAGTGAGGATTGATCATCTTACCCCAGCTCTTTTTTCTTGTTTATCTTCTCTAGGTGTACAGCTTTTAGTATGTTTATCCTATCTTATAGGTCTAGTACCACTTATAAATGAGTATATACCATGTATGTCTTGTCTTTCTGCTCCTGGGATATCTCACTCAGGATGATCTTTTCTTGACCCCACCATTTGCCTGCAAATTTCATGATTTCTTTTTTTTTTTTTAATTGCTGAGTAGTATTCCATTGCGTAAAAGTACCACAATTTATGTATCCATTCTCCCATTGATGGACATCTCAGTTGTTTCCAGGGTCTGGCTATTATGAATAAAGCTGCTACAAGCATGGCTGAGCAAATGTCTTTGTTATGTACTTGAACATCTTTTGGATATACGCCTAGGAGTGGTGTAGCTGGATCTTGAGGTAGCGCTATTCCTAATCTGGAGCTTTCCACAGTGGTTGTACCAGTTTACATTCCCACCAGCAGTGGAGGAGGGTTCCCCTTTCTCCACATCCTCTCCAGCATGTGTTGTCACTTGAGGTTTTTATCTTAGCCATTCTGATGGGTGTATGGTAAAATCTCAGGGTCGTTTCTTCAATAAAAAGGGGTATCTCTGCAGAGCAAAGATTCTTTGGAAAGAAAGGTCAGCCCACACGCAGAAATCAGCCTTGGAGGAGAAGCCTCCTTGCAGAGTTCGGTTATATCCGAAGGGACATCTCTGCACTAAGAGTAATCTCTGAAGTGAAAGATTGCCTCACAAGCAGAGACAAAGCTTTCCAATGGGTAACTCTGCCAAAAAAGGACACTCTCCAGGTAAAGATCGCTGCCCAGGCAGAGGTCAGCCTCTGACAAAAGCCACTATGCACAGGAGGGTGGCTCAGTCAGAGGGTTAACTGTGCACAGAAGATACCATCTGCATGGAAGGACCAACCCACTGGGAGAGGTCGGCCTATGACAAAAAGCCGTACTGCAGAGAAGCATCTATTTGCCAAGAGAGGTTGCCCTCCTACAAAAAGATGTTGAGCAAAGAAGGGTCCCTGTGCAAAAATATTTCACTCTCCAGAAGAAGTTCACTGTGGGGACAGAGGTCACTTTGCTAAGAAAATTTGCCCTGCAGAGAGAGATAGCTCTTTGCGGAGAAAGGGCGCATGGCCCAGAAGGGTTGCTCTTTTGAACAAGGCCATTCCGGGGAGAGGGGTCATTCTTCCCAGAGAATATGCATTGCTGAGAAAGATGATACACTAGAGAATGGATGCTCTGTGGAGAAAGGTCCCTGCTCCATGGAAAATGGATTCGCTGTAGAGAAGCCCTCTTCAGGATCCACGCCTACAGCGGCAGTGCCAAAGAACTTGCAGAATACTCCAGAAAACAGAAGTGGCAGTGGTACCAGCCAAGTGGCCGAGATCCCTTACCAAAATCTGACTGGGACTGTGAGAACAGGAGTTGAAGTGAGGGTCCCCCGGACAACTCAAGTCCTGTCTGGTTGAGAGCTGGGACTTGGTGAACAAGCAGAAGCAGTTATTCCAACTCCCTGCTAAGAAAACTGTAGATACCATTCTCACAGAGTATGTGACTTTTGTGAAGTCACAGAGAAAGCTATGATAATAGGGAATATTCTGTTGACGAGTTTCAACACAATACCGGGCACCCAGCTGCTCTGCCAGTTTGAAAGAGCCCAGTATGCCAAAATATACCTGGCTCATCCCCACACTCCAATGTCTCTGGTCTATGGGGCGCAACACCTCCTGAGATTATTTGTGAGACCTGGGACTACACTGGCCCGTTCACCCCTTAATAGGCAGAGTCTTATGTTAGTGTTCACCTATATACAGGAGCTCCTCGAGTACCTGGCACAGAATTTCACCTCTCTGTTCAGTGCCAACAACTACACAGTGGCTTCTGGCGAGTATTGCTGCAAAGCCTTGTGAGGGTCTGCAGAGGACTCATTGTTATATCCTGGATCAGTAAACATTTCTGTTTGCTGTTTTCATTGTGTAGTTGATGTTCTTCGGAACTGCATAACGGGGTGTAATGGTTCAGTTTGCTTATTGTTGTACATAGAAATAAAAATTAAAGGCTTTTTTACCTATATGTCACAATTCAACAAATAAACTTTCACTAAAAAAAAAAAAAATAAATACACTTAAGCAAATATAGTTAAAAGTGCATATATGGAAGTAGAATTATCCACATTATTCATATTTATATAAAACCATATTAAACCCATAGTATTCATATAGTTATATACTATTAATATTTCATATGAGGTAATATGTAATTAATTATTTCTACTTTTGAAGTGTATATACTCTGGGACTCAAATGAGTATAAAAATACAATAAAGCACTATATATATGTATATACAATATATATATATATACACACACAATAAATACGAGAATCAGAAGCCAATATTTTTAATAATTCATGGGTTAGTGGTCATTGAAAGAATGTTTTCCCTCTGAAGGATATGATAGCAAACAGTAAAGGGAAAATTGTAGTCAATTTTCTACCCACAGCCAACCCCAGCTTCCTGTGGAATGACAGAGTGAGGGAAGTCAGGCAGTAGTAATTTCAATCACCTTGAGATTGATTTATTTTCAATTTCAAGTTCAGTCTGGTGAAAGGTGTTGTAATGACAGCTCAAGATCCCAGAAGTAAAGTAGAACATGAGAAGCAGTAATTTAAAGTGTTCCAAATGCAGATGGCTACCTTGACCCCAAGAGAGCAGCTGTGGGCATTCAATTATGGCACTCCTCTCCTGATTACACTAATGCTACTTATCTTGTATCTTGTCTGTAGAGTGAAGGGTCCTTTGCGCAGTTTCTATCTATGCCTTTGGCAAACAAGAGTAGAACTGCATTGTCTTCCTATTACAGCACAGCAGTAGGAAACATAAAGTATTTGTGTGGGCCATGCTGATAAAAACACGTGTGGCACTTAGTCACATTACAAAATGCTCCAATATTATTTTTATTTGTAACAACAATATTATAATTAAATTGACATATCTGAGTGCCTGTGCCAAGAACAACACAGCCACATAATTCGCACTAGTTATCTGAAATGTTATCTGAAATTTTTAGCATATTGACTATCTGTAAGGTCTTATGTTTTTAAATACCTTATTAATTTCATTAATAAATCACCAGTATGAACGTATTCTAAATTGTCTGAATAATCTAATAAGTGAATACTAATAAATTTCTACTTCTGTTTCAGAATTTAAGCTCTCAAACCAGTATTACTAAGTAAAATCCTAACGTAACATTTTACTATTTAGCACAGTTTCTTAAACTGGAATTCAATGGCTAGGCTATCTACAGACATTTTCTCGAAAAGATGAATACATTAGATTCGGCAAACAATCCTCTTAAGCTAATATAAGAAGAAAATCATTTCGCTCTAGCCAAGAAAGCAAGAAGGGCAACTCTGGATCTTCACATCTCCTTCCTCACCTCCAGTTCTGGTCCTCTAGTCTCACTGTAGCAGACCATCTGCTGTAGTCTCTTCTCCCTCTATTCCCCCATTTGTAGCATATCACACAGACCTTCTCTTTCAGTCTTCCTTCCTCACACCCATTACATTGTTCCAGTCACCAACACCAGCGTGAGATGGGAACCTACAGGATACTCCAGTCAGAGAAGCAGGTAGGATGCCTGCAAATCTTTACCTCTCCTTTCATTCAATTCCCCAGTCTCATCCAGTGCTGTAGCAGACCACCTGCTATTCTATCCCCCTTCTGTGCTCTCATATCCAGCTGATAATGGATCACACAGATCTTCCCCCTCCAACCTCCCTTCCTCCAATTCATCCCATTATCCCAACCTCCAACTTCGCCAGACACTCCCTGGGAATCTGCAAGCCAAGACTGTCAGAAAAACTATCAGACCAGGACAGCAGGTAGTGAGCTTTGGATCTTCATATCCCACTCCTCACATCTAAATCCAGTTCCACAGCCTCATCCACAGCTCTGTAGCAGATTACCTGCTGTGGCCTCTCCTCCTCTCACCCAATTCTCAGGGGACTAAGCTGATCCTGGAGAAAGTTCCTTCTCTGGAAACACTCAGGTCTCCCTCCAGTCCATGTGCATTCCAAAGTGTCAGCTCCTGGAAATAGAGATTTGCTTTCCCCAAACTTCACAACACCTGGGAGGATGCCTAAAGAATTTCCTACCAGGCAACACACAGCTACTACATTCTCCCAAAACTAGAAAAGGGAACAGAAACAAAGAAACAAAACACCATCCTAAAGAAAACAAGACCAGGTTTTTGTGCCTAGAATTAAAATCTTTCCATAATCAGATACCTCGACAACACTATAAAAACAAAATCATCAAAGCCTGAACACTGTGTCTCCATTAGAGTCCAGTAACTCTATAACAATAGGTCCCGAGAATTGCAACATCGCTGAAGCATGAGATACAGACTTTAAAGTAGCATTTATGACTATATGACTATAATAGAAGTTCTTGAAGATAAAATTGACAAAACTCTTAAAGAAATCTGTTGAAACACAAACAATCAGTGGAAGGGAATGAAGAAAAGAGTTCATGATCTGAATGTAGAAATAGAATCAATAAGAAAAACTGGAAATAATGAAAATTAAGAATGAAAAATTTAGGAGCTCAAACAGGAACCATGGAGGCAAGCCTCACCAACAGCATATAAGAGTTGGAAAAAATTATCTCAGGCAATGAAGACATGACAGAAGAAATGGAAACCATGATCAAAAAGTAAGGTAAAAAATTTTAAAGTACCAGAACAAAACATCCAGGAAATTTGGGACATGATGCAAAGACCAAATCTGTAAATAATAGGAATAGAGGAAGTAGAAGAAACCCATGTCAGAGGCATATAAAATACTTTCTACAAAATCATAGAAGAAAATATAACCTAAAGAAGAAGATGACTATTAAGGTATAGAAATCATACAGAACACCAAATAGACTGGAAGAGAAAAGTCTCATCAGCATGTAATAATCAAAACACTAAATGTACAAAACAAAGCAAGAGTATTAAAGACTGCAAGGAAAAAAACAAGTAACAGGTACTTGGTATGGGCTATTAGAAAAATACCTGATATCTCAATGGAGACCCTAAAAATGAGAAGGCCTGAACAGATATTCTACAACTGGTAACCACAGATGCCTGCCCAGATTATTATACCCAGCAAAATCTTCTATCACAATAGGTGGAAAAAATAAAACACTCCATAATAAAACCAAATTTAAATAATATCTATCGACAAATCCAGCTCTACAGATGACACTAGAATGAAATCTTCAATCTAAGGAGGTTAAACACACAAGAAAACACAATAAATAAGCAAATAATCTAAGAGTCACAAATCAAAAGAGGGAAACACACAAATATACCACAACAACAAAACAACAAAAATCAACAAACACAACTCATTGATGAAAGTCAATATTGTCTCAATTCTTCAATAAGAAGACAGACTAACAGAATGGATGCAAAAACAGGATCCAACTTTTTGCTGCATCCAAGAAACACACCTTAATGTCAAGGTTACCCATCACCTCAGTGTAAAAGAAGGAAAAGAATATTCCATGCAGACAGACCTAAGAAACGACCTGGTTCAAGGAACACATAGTCAAAACAAATAGCTGCTACTGAATCATTGTTGAGTTGACTGCTCAAGAAATCGAACAAGTGTCAAGGCTGCTGGCTTCAGAACCATGTGATAGTTACAACACTCTGCACTTGGGAAATTTGTATTTGAGTAGCCTGCAGATAATGCTCTTAATTGGGGACATATACAATAATTAAACGATAAAAAATAATAATAGGAACTTTAAAAAATCTATAATCCTTTCAATCCATTTGTGGAAAAGCAAAAGGAATTTTAAAAAAGCTATGACTACAAAGAAAAAATGAACAGCAGTACTATTATATATATATATATATATATAAATATATATATATATATATATATATATATATATATAGTTGTAGACATTTAAATTCTTTAATTTAAAGATGAAAAAACAATTTTCCAGAAATCTGTATGTTGTAGAAATGGTAGTTTGCTTTTTATATTCTGTGGTAGGTAAGGACTACTGAGCTGTGTTTTCAGTCTGAGATGGCAGGCTTGGCGTGCTCCACTTTGACTACAGCTAACCCTGCTGGGTCAACATTCATCTGCTCAGTGGTAGCAGTGAAGGAGGTCACACTCTAAGCCTTGACATGGTGCACACAACTTCATTCTCCACTACACTTGGCAACGCACTTACATATCTCCATCTGCCTATAGTGGAGACAGGAAATAAATAAATAAGCTCCAGTTCTATATTTGATCTCAAGGAGAAATAAATAGGAAATGCTTGGTAGGGATGGATATAGATGAGACATTAACAGTGTTGGAGGAGAAGCTATATCATTTGATATATAAAAATAATGAGATCAAATGTTGGCATGAATAAGATTTTTTGAAAGAAGCTAAAGTAATACAGACCAAAACAGTTGTTTTATTAAATGGCAAGATTTTAATGTCCCTCTAAACCCACAATATTAAAATTTATTACATCTTTGAGTACTGTGATTTAACTTTTTTTTTTCATAAACTAGACCAGCATTGTTTACACTGTGGTAACAATTTCCTAAGAAGGTAGATTTGAATTTCCCTCGCTTTTAACTTAGTGGCAGGCAACCTCTCCTCCTCCATTCTGTGTTCCTATCAGTATTTGTAACTAGGTTTTTTACAGAATCATTTTCTCTACTTAGAGACCCTTGGGGATGCATGAGACACACTGGAGAGAGGTAGGAGAAGTAGTAAACTTATGTAACTATATTTTAATTTCAAAAGTAAAATAGTATTTAAAAATAAAATATCTATTTACATACAAAAAAATGATGTTCAATCTAAGTTTATGATGTATACAAATTGGTAAAACACATAAGAGAGA